CTGACAATGTTATTATATCCAATATGTTTGCAGAATTTTTCAAGTCAAACTACCGTAATAATTCTTCCAAAACTTTATCTTATCAGCACGTGTTGTGTTCGAATACTTTAATTAACGCTCCAATTATTTCTGAAGAAGACGTCCTACTTAAATTAAATAAGTTAAAACCATCTTTTAGTTACTACCCAGACATGATACCCTCATGCTTCCTAAAAAATAGTGCCAAATATACTTACTTGCCTTTGACAAGGATATTTAATTAATCTCTTAAACACGGTATATTTCCTTCAATATGGAAACAGTCATTTATAATTCCTTTGCATAAAAGTGGATTTAGATCCAACATTGGAAACTATAGAGGTATCGAAAAACTATTTCGGCCAAGATTTCTTCAATGGGTGGCTTGCTACCTTTATAATAGAACACAACGAGTGATATTTGAGGATACACGTTCAGATACAATTAATGTTTCTTCAGGTGTTCCGCAAGGTAGTCATCTTGGCCCGATTCTGTTCTTGTTGTTTATTAACGATATCTCTTCAGTAATTGAATTCTCAAAAATGTTATTATACGCTGATGACGTAAAGCTTTTTAAATCATACACTTCAACTGAGGAAAGGTGTCTGTTGCAAACAGACTTAAACAATATGATTGCATGGTGTGATAGAAATGATTTGCCATTGAATCTGAATAAATGTAAGACGGATGTGCTTTTCCCGTAGATCTGTGCATCCCTCTTCTTATGTAATAAAACACCATATTCTGGAGCAAGTTTTTGACTATGTTGATTTGGGAGTCAATATGGACTCTAAGCTTAATTTTTGTCTTCATATTGACACCATGGTCTTGAAAGCAATAGCTGTCCTCAGTTTTGTTAAACGTTGGTCTAAAGAATTTAGAGATCCGTATATTTCTAAAACACTTTATGCAACTTTGGTTAGACCTATATTGTAATATGGCTCTGCTGTATGGAACCCTAACTACCAAACTGACAAGTTAGAGTGTGTTCAAAACAAGTTTTACTTTTCGCTTTAGCATATTTCCGATGCGATTCTAGGGTAAGTCTACCTCCATACACTAGTCGTTTAAAACTTATTAATCTACCTACACTTTCTAGTCGTAGGGAAATGCTTGGCATACAATTCTTAGTGAAAATCTTAAATGGAACAGTTTGCAGTTCTTTTCTGCTATCTGAAATTAAATTTAATATCCCGATTCGCTTTTCGATGCAGTTTAGACCTTTACTGTTAAAATCCTGTAGATCAAATTTTGAACTAAACGAGCCAATCCGCCGTATATGTCATGATTTTAATTCTCATTCCACCACATTTGACTTATCTGACTCACTTTTCTAAATTAAAAAGACTTTATTATTTTCTTTTAATGAATGAAAATGTAACAATTTATTATATTGTAACTATAAATCTTAGCTGTTGAAATTTTTGTTTCTGTAGCTGAGCACTTTTAGATCTCAACACTTAACGTATGCGGATTGCGCCCCTCGCGTTGGTTGGGCGGGAGGAGGGTAATCGTTGGGTTATTATTATTATTATTATTATGGTGAAGTGTTCAAACACTTCGATGGACCATAAATATGCGCGCAGAATAGCAAATTGATTCAACAGCACAAATATGTTTTGAACAATTGCTAGATATTGGAAATAGTAAAATAGAACATTAGGCTACAGTTCTATTTTACTATTTCCAATATATGCATTATACTACCAGACAATTTTTGCACTCCTGTTCACAAAAAAAATTGATTACTTGAGAGTATATTTCTGAGAGCAAAAATTAATTGTTTGGATCATAACTGACTCAGTAATGAGGCTACATTGCGGCCAAAAATGTAGAGGTTGACAAAATTAGTTTCCAAATACAACAGTTGTTGCAGGCCATCATATGTATTTTACAAGTAAATCATTCGCTCCTATTGTTGATCAAATTGAAAACGTAAATCATATACCCAGGATCAATTATTATTCTGCATAATTTCAATCCAACTCAATTATGCAACGGTACACGTTTGGTAATCAAAAAGTTTACAAAAAATATTATTGAAGCAACCATTTTGACTGGAAAATTTAATAGAGAAATGATCCTGTTACCACTTTTTCCATTGATACTGTCAGAATCTACGATACGAAAGAGCTGAATTAAATTGAATTTAAAAATATTTATATTATAATTAAAAACTATTAATATTATTATTAAAATTTAAGAATGATCTACCCTCTTTCATTATCTTAAATGTTATCAACTAACAACTTTGAAAATTATTCATTTGTTACAAACTTGAATATAAAATTAATAAAATAAAAAATTCAACATCTCTTAGTATCTTTGTGTTTAATAACAATTCTAAGAAAATTTGGAGCAATCATTTTCAAATTTGGAAGTAATGTCAACATCTTAAATTATAACTCCAAAATTTTTTGAACAATTCATTTAAATTTTTAGTACGTTTTTTTAAAGGGGAATAGGGAATAAAATAGACTGTCAAAATATACAAAAAGTAAAAATGTTTTTTTTTTTTTAATTTCACACTAGGTGTGCCCCTTAAGAGCTCCAGGTTGCAAGCAAAAGGTATTGTGCTCAACTCTCCACTGAATAGTATTGATTACAGTGTTTCGTTTATTGGACTCATTTTAGCCACAAAATTCACTGGGATCGGGCTTTTTGCAGTCGTTCTGTAATCTCAATTGTACATGGTCCACGTTTTGTGCATCAAGAGTTTGTTTTAATGACTGTTCAGATACAACTTTTATTTAACTTTTCATGAGGCATAAGAATTATTAAACCCAAATTTTATATTGTAAAAACAATTAAAATATATATTTTTGGCACTAAAAAAGAACTTTCTTGTTGCTGTTTGATTTACAAAGAATTAAAAGCAAAGTGTTTATTCAAAAAAGTCAGAGACAACGATGACGTCATATACTGTAGGTAGAACAGAAAACTGTGAAAACGCAAACACTTTGTTAAACTCGTAAAATAAACATTATTAATTATTGTAGTTTGTATTGAAAAAGTTTTAGTGAAATGAGTAGAGGAATGTTATGAGCCAAATATTTGAGTAATTTTTAAATAAATACTTTAATTTGTTGCCTTAATTGCTAATTAAGTAGATGATTTAACAAATTGAATTTTTGCTATGTTTTCAGCAATACTTCTTTTTTATTGTAAAAATAAATATATACGAATATTAATAACAGTGTCGATATACTTATGTGAAACTAAAGTAATTAAATATAAAAAATTTCAAAATATTAATTCCGCCTACAAAAAATGTCGCTTTTTTGGGCAGCTTGTACATTGGATGGTAAAGTAGAAAAACTTTTCTTTAACGATTTATTTGCACTATTGGTATTAACTACTATCGGTACTTACTACTTTGTCTTAAATACTCATTTACGAAATGTTCGTGAATGAGTGGATAAATTTGGTTAATCGGTGGTAATATTATAACTAAACTGAAATTTATATTTTTCATTGATTAAACAGAAGCAATGCGAAAAATACCAAGCCCAATGCAGTATTATATACTATTAGTTTAAATTATTTTAAATTTGTATGTCTCAGGTAAAATATGCTTTTGTTATGAGATGAATTTGGAATGATATCATGTTTTCAGCGTTTATTCAGTTTAAGAGAATAATAGCTAAATAAAGCACTGAAAGCCAGAGCATATGAAAAGGATAAATTGGTATTGCCCTTCATGTATTCGACGATTTCTAAATCTGGAACATTATATTTATTAATCCTCTTTACTTTTAACATTTATTCAACTTCAGAGAATGATAAAAACTCAAAAAAGCACAGAATGAAAAATTGCTTGAATTATATTTTAATATCTATTTTCAAAAATTGATTTAGTACGTTGTTAGCTAAACTATAAAAATTTTCTTGACCCTATTTTTAGAGGTGCTTTTTCTGAAGTACGCCTGGCTGAGAGCAAGGAAAATCCTGATGAGCATTTCGCAGTTAAGATTATCGATAAAAAAGCGTTAAAAGGAAAAGAAGAATCACTTGAAAATGAAATTCGGGTACTAAGGAGGTAAGAAACTTTTTAATACATACACTAGCCGTCTTAAGTATACGCTACTCTGCAAATAAATCTTTACTGCTTTAAATCATAGTAATTATTTTTTAAATAACTGAACATTTTTATATATATATTATTTTCAATAAGATGCTAACGGTACTAATCATGCACACAGATAGGCGACGCCATAGATAACGGGACTTTTGTTGCCGCATCAAAGTAATACATGAGTCAAAAGTGTACGCTCATCTCATTTCTGTTCTATTTATTATTTCGTAAGCCCCTCGAATTTAAATAAAAACTCGTTTTTAAAGCAATCTTATTAAAGTATAATTTTGAAGATTTTTAAGCATTTTGCGGTTTTGGTAGCAATGGATGCAAAGCGAAAAAAAGGTGAAAGGCAAATTATTATTAAATGGCACAATAAAGATCCAAAATAGCCGGCAAATAGTAAAATCCGTCGGTAGAAAATCATGTCGGAAAATTATCGTTGTCTGACCTACTAATATATGTATATACATATATATAATATATATTTATTTATTTAGTTAAACGCCAATCGGCAATATACATAGATATAATAAAGAATTAAAGTGTTATACAAAAGTAGCTAGGGTATATTAGTGTAATATCTGGAAAATATTTAAATAATTCTAAGTTAATATGTAATTCAGACTTGAAGATGTCGATAGCAGGATGGTACTTATCTTCCGGGACAAGAGCAACTGCGTGTTCCGGAGAAGAGTCAATGTCAGTGAAACAAAGGTCAAGTGTTGAGTTCCAGGCATTTTGAATGTAATTTTGTTGGGTGCAGTTTAATGAGGCAAATCCATCATAAAGTTGCTTTTCACAGTCGACACGAGGCAAGCTGCTAGAAATATTGAAGTCGCCGACAATCATGACGTTGGAATTTCGGTATTTGTCCATTATAAATGAAACGGTAGCTATGTGGCACTCGAAGATCTCAAGAGTTGATTGAGGAGGTATGTAGATGCAGCCGATGATCATATCGCGAGAAGCTCCCTTGACACGGATGAATATTTGCTCTGCTCGTTGATGAGCGAAGCACGGTCTTTACGGTAAATACTATATGTTGAATCAATGACTTCACCATCACATATGGATGAGTGAAGCCAGGATTCCGAAATACATACAACGTCGTACTGGTTAGCCGCTAATGCTGTTTGAAATGTTGAGAGTTTTGTACGCAGACCTCTGACGTTCTGGTAGCACAGGTGGACGTAAGATACTTTCTTCTTGCTCGTTGAGCGGACGAAAATTTCTTTTAACGATTCTTGGGACACCATTGATATATAATTAATTGTGTTACTGTCATCACCACTCTTCACGATTGAATCAAGCTCTTGACGCAAATTTTTCTGATGAAGTTGTTGAGAGGCAGTTAGATCAGTCTTGAAAATAAAACCTGAGTTTTCGTCTGTTGGTCTGTATTTAATAATGGAAAGTGCATCGGCTGCTGAACGGGTGGTAATGTGAAGAGGACGTGTACGTCCAGGTGTAGGACGACCCAGTTTACGTAACTTGAGTTCAGTGGCCTCATCCTTGATACTGGGAGGCAAAGCTGTGACTAACTTTGTTCTGTCATCCTCTAAACGGTCCTTTCCAGCAGCTTTATCAGACTCAGGAATATTTAGGGCAATCACGTTGGTTTCACGGCGTTTTCGTTCCGACAGTTCAGTGAAAAACTCTTCCTGGCTGGTAGGCAGCCTCATATCTACGTTTAGCTTGTCTTCAACTGATGTAAGTTTGTCATCCAGGGCAGAACATTGATTTGATAGCGAGACGTTTTGTTCTGACAGTTTGCTTACGTCTTTTCTTAAGTCCTTGATTTCACTTACAACTGATTTTTTTAGGTCCCTGAACTCACGTTCATAATTTGTTGTAAAACGTTCAAAGTGTCTCTTGAGTAAGGTTTCAATATCCTTTGACGGTGGCGGATCATCTGATGCCTCCTCATCGGAATCCAATACATCACATGTCTTAACACTAATGTCACTTGCACATGAGTCACAGTTCCGAACTGTTTCTTTTTTCTTAATGCTGTTGGCGATGGATTTAAACTAATCGGATGAAAGGTTGGTGCACTTTGAGTGAAACCAACGTCGACAAGCCGCACATTGAATACTTGGCTGCGTTTTATCCCGGATTATGTCTGAGCAAAAACCACAAATCTGTTGTGTTGTATTTACTTTTTTGGGTGGCATTTTGTAAGTACACGATACAGGAAAAAAAGATATGTTCCAAATAATTCCGGAGTAATTTTTTATTTCCGTGTATTATTAATGCATTCATTCACTCTATGATGCCTAATTCACAATCAATGTTAATGTTTGTTATGCTTTGTATTATTACACCTCACAATATTACGTCGCACACACCTTTCTTTGTTGTACGAAATTCAATTATGGTTCAGTATCAAAATTTAATCGAACTTTTCTTTGTACATCCTTTTTATTTTCTTATAAGAATTATTATTTCCTTTTAAGGAAACTTATATGAGGCATTAATTTAATATTCTTTCACTTTTATATATGCGATTGATGTAATATTTTCAGATATTACGGAGCACTTTTCACTATACACACTGCACATGTTTACAGCTACCTAACCAAATATATATACGACAACACGTTGCTTTGGCTATGGAATACATCAGTGGTGCTCACTTGGCACCCAACAATATCAAGTGACTCCGTTTTGCTCCGGAAAACATCTTTTACAACAAACACAGCACTTTTAATGAGAACACGCAAAATGATCGGAACAAGCAAGTTGACTTGCACTGGCGACGTCTGGCTCGCGGTAGCTCACTCGAAACTAACGGGATAATCGTCATTCATTCACTGCTGGCTGACATTGCCTCGCATTCACTTAGTTTTGGCAAGCATTTAACATGGAGTCCACAAAATAATAGGAATGACATTATAAGAAATATATTCATATTATATATTGTAACGGGTTTCTCGATAAATCGTCTAACTATAACTCGCTCTTGAGATCGATCACTGGATTGTTAAATTAAAGTCCCAATTTAATGATATACACTTATCTTTATTTCCAATTCCAACAACTTAACACTTATTGCTCGCTATTCGAACTTACAACTTATTGCTTATAGCTTAATTGCTCTTGACACGACAACACTCTAATTAGAACTGTCCAGCTGCACAAAAGTTCGCTACTAGAACATTCTGGCAACTACGAATTCGCTGTCTAGTTGCTTCTGCCAATTTATCGTCAATTCTGATTTGTTCTGGTACTCGTGTTCGCCACACTGCCCTCTACCTAAGTCTGATCGACCCGATTAGACATATTTGCGGTACCAAACGCTGCAAGCCGTTCCAGATGAACCACCTTCATTTTATTCCTTGGTCTTCCAATGGTCTTTATGCGATACACTACATCATTGAGTCGTTTAATAACCAGGTATGGTCCTTCCCAATTACACTGTAATTTGGGAGACAGCCCTTTCTTTCGTTGTGGGTTATATAACAATACCCAATCGCCTTCAATAAAACCCTCAGAGTTTATTGCCTTGACGTATTTTGCTTTCATCTTATCGCTCATAATTTTGGTGCGCTGTCTTACCATATCCCTCATCTCGTCTTCTTGGATGCTATTGAACTCCTTAGTATTCTTTCCTCCGTTGGCGTTATTTCCAAATTTTAAATCAATCGGTAGTCGAAGATCATTACCAAAAATTACCCTTGCTGGCATGACTACCAAAACATATCTGTTTCCTAATTTACTGATAGGAAATGGACCAGCTTCATCCATGGCTACTCGCTCAAACGGCGCACCTGAATTGTACTGCTTCATCTGAGCGTGACTCCTGGACCGCGGCCCTTTAGCAGCAATGCACTCGACACAATTGGCGATTAACTCCGTAACTGATTGACGACAACCAACCCAATAAAATCATTGTTTAAATTTCACCAAAGTTTTAGTGATACTCATGTGTCCTCCACTTGGACCGTTGTGCAGCTCGTTGAGAGCTTCAGGAATTCTTACTTTTGGAACAATCATCAGAGCCCGTGAACTTTGCCCATCTTCGCTTTCCCATACGCGATGCAAGCAGCCAGACACTAACTTCAAACTATTCCATTGTGACAAATAAGCCTTTGCGACTGGGCTTTCTGCAGCTGTTTCTTCTCTCACTTGACGTTTATTCATCTCCAATCCGTGTATTACACTTTTCAAATCTGGATCTTCTTGCTGACATTTCCGTAGCTCCTCCGGATTCCAGTCTGCTCCTCAGCTTTTGAGCAATGTCTGCATTCCAGATTACAGGGACGGCGGGACATGGCATCAGCATTGCCATGACTACTACCTTTGCGATGTTCTATAGAGAAGTCGTAACTTTGGATTCTCTCAATCCACCGTGCCAACTGTCCTTCAGGGTTCCTGAATTGTAGAAGCCATTTTAATGCTGCATGATCTGTCCTCACCCGAAATCGCTGGTCATAAAGGTACTTATGAAAATGTTTGATGCACTTCACTAACGCCAGTAATTCCCTCCGAGTAACACAATAATTTCTCTCTGGCTTGCTTATGGTCTGGCTGTAATACGCAACCACTTTCTCATGCCCATCAATGACTTGTGATAAAACGCCTCCTACTGCAAATCCACTAGCATCTGTATCCAAAATAAACGTTGATCCTGGGACCGGGTATGCTAACATTGGCGCAGTACCGTTTCTTCAGAGTTTGGAAAGCCACTTCTTGTTCTTTATTCCATTCAAAAACTCTGTTCTTGTTCGTGAGTTCATGGAGGCTACTAGCTACGCTAGCAAAATTTGGAACGAATCGTCTATAATAAGTACACAGTCCAAGGAAACTCCGCAATTCATGTAAATTTTTAAGAGCGGGCCAATCTCTTACTGCCTCGATCTTTTCATTAGCTGTGCAAATGCCCTCCGTTGTCACTTTGTGTCCTAAGTAGCTTACTTCCTTTTTGAAAAGGGAACACTTCTTTGGACACAGCTTCAGACCAGTGCTAGCTATCCGTTGGAAAACCTCTTCCAAGTTCTTAAGGTGTTCATCGAAGCTTTTACCCAACACGATGATATCGTCGAGGTATACCAAACAGGTCTTCCAGTCTAATCCTTTTAATACCTGGTCCATAAGAGTCTCAAAAGTAGCAGGAGCGTTACATAATCCAAAGGGCATTACGGTAAATTGCCATAGACCATCTCCCACGCTGAAAGCCGTCTTTTCTTTGTCTTCTTCGTTTACCTCCACTTGCCAATAACCACTTTTCAAATCAAGTGTTGAGAACCATTTTGTGCCTGATAACGAGTCCAGTGTATCATCGATTTTAGGTAGTGGATAACTGTCTTTCTTCGTTACATCATTCAACCTTCTATAGTCCACACAAAATCTCATGTTGCCATCTTTATTCTTCACAAGTACTACAGGTGAGCTCCACGGACTCTCTGATGGTTCGATTACGCCGCTTTCGCTCATTTCACGTATGGTCTGGCTTTCAACTTCACGTTTTGCTTAAGGAACGCTTCGAGGAGCCTGGCGGATTGGTCTTGCATCACCTGCGTTAATGAAATGTTTCACAACTTTGGTTCTTTCTGGTTTGGCATCGTCTTTATCAAATATGGATGAGTATCTGAGAAGAAGTTGTTTAGCCATAGTTTGATAGTTTGCCTCTAGTTCTTCAGTCCATGCGTTAATTTCACTCGATATATCGTTTTCGTCCATGGAATCTTCCTCAAGACGTATTTCGCAATTTATCACGGCCTCAATCTCTTGACACTGCCCTAATAGAGCTCCTTTGGAGAGCTTTATTGGTAACTTGCACTCATTAAGTACTCTTACTGGAACACGTTTATCTTGCCTTGTCATAGCCAGGGTTTTGCACATAAGTAAGTTTGGTGTAGATTCTTTTGTGGGCTCAACAATCCACCACTTGTTTGACACATAGTCTCCATCTAATTCTGCCCAAATAACTGCTTCTGATGTTGGTGGAATCTGCTGGCTCTCTGTTGTTATTACTCGTCTAACGTTGTACTTCGTAACCGAACATAAGTGGAAATTCCATATTTCTATATTATATGATTCGCTAGAAAATCTACTCCAATTATGACTTCGTCAACGATATCTGCCACTATAAAATTGTGCAACACGGCTGCCTTTCCAATAACGATCTCGCACGTTACCTTTCCGAGAACTAGGGTATCTTCTCCAATTGCAGTACGCAACTTTGCCACAGCTAACGGTCTCACTTCTTTCTCAACCAGATCAGATCGAATTATGGAATGTGATGCGCCCGTATCCACAGTCAGTATGCGCTTTTTACCGTCTACACATCCACTAACGGTAACGTTACTCGTATTCCTGATTATTTGTGAAATGGAGATTACAGGGCATTTGCTGGCTCGCTTTAGTTTAACGATTGGTTTGATTTGACATTTGCTTGATCTTCCTCAGCTTTGCGTTTACGTCCAACTGGATTATTGGGCTGGTTACAGTTGCGTGCAATATGGCCACTATTTCCGCAGTTGAAGCATTTAAACCCAGCATAATTTTTCTTATGCGCTTCCGTATATTTTTCCAGTGCTTTCTGCATGTTGTCCATTTTTTCAAGTAATTGGTTCACCCAAGTGTGTTCCTTTATTTCTACTTTGTGAGCTTTAAATGTTTGTTGTTTGCAAAGCAGAGATGCAGTTTCCTGTGTCAGAGCATACGAGACGGTTTCTGCAAACGTCAATTTGGGACATGCTAATGCAGCGAATCGTGTAGTGTTATCTCGTATTCCATTGACGAAAGTCTGAATTTTCGTGTTCTCGATGTATTCCATGGATTTATGTGCATAAGCTAAGTGAGCTAACCTCTCAATCTCTGTAGAAAACTCCTGCAGAGACTCTTTGGCTTTCTGGCGGCGATTTCGCAACTCGATTTGAAAGATCTGCTTCCTGTGCTCACTACCATACCGTCTTTCTAATGCACCCATCAACGTTTCATAACTACTCGCCTCGCAGTTTGGAATGGTCTGTAATATTTTCGCTGCAGATCTTTTAATGCAACGAACAATGCAGCTACTTTATCTTCAGTGTTCCAATTATTTGAAGATGCCGTCTTTTCGAATTGAAGCTTAAAAACGGGGAACGGCACAGTGGCATCAAAGGATGGGGGTTTTACCTTGGCAGAAGCTGTTGACACAATTGGCCGATTTAATTGTAGCTCGCGCAGACGATCTTTTAATTCATCCATTTCAGTTTTAATTCTATCCCCTTCTTCCGAAATCTGTAAGAACACTTCTGCTATTTGTGAGGTCACCTGTGCTGATATATGTGCATCTTGCGCTGTAAACTGCTCTTCCAACTGTGTGGATACCTGTGCTGATATACGTGCATCTTGCGCTGCGAATTGCTCTTCCAACTGCGTATTTAACGAGGACAATTGGGATTGTTGTGCCAACATTTATGATGACACCCCTGCTATTTGTTGGGTTAAACGTGCATCCTGCTCTTTAAATTGTGTCGATATTTCTGTTGATATTTGCATTGACATTTGCGTTGACATTTGAGACATACGTGTATCCTGCTCTTTAAATTGTGTCGATATTTGCGTTGACATTTGAGACATCTCTTTCCCCATCTGCGATATTGCAGCAAAAATCATGTTTATGTCCACAATCTTTGACGAGCATTGAGTTTCTTCCTTTTCTTCTATCGTTGTTGTCTCTTCCTCTAATTCCATGTGAAAGACATATTCCTCAACATTAATATTTTCCGCCTCTGTGGCCTCTCAACCGTGATTGCAATTCAGTTTT